GTCCACTAAACTGCAGGCATACACTCATTATCTATTACACATAAAATGTCCACTAAACTGCAGGCATACACCCATTCTCAAGACCGTCGCTAGAATGGTTTGAAAGGTCCTACTCACCTTCACTGTTCACCCGGTCACCAACCTCTCTTGGTCACCCCTCTTCATCTCTTGATCGCCATCTCTCTTGTTCACCTCTTTTCATCTCTCTTGGTCACATATTTTCAACTCTCTTGGTCACATATTTTCACCTCTCTTAGTCACATATTTTCACCTCTCTTGGCCACATATTTTCACCTCTCTTGGTAACATATTTTCACCTCTCTTGGTCACCTATTTTCACCTCTCTTTGTCACCTATTTTCACCTCTCTTTGTCACCTATTTTCACCTCTCTTGGTCACCTATTTTCACCTCTCTTTGTCACCTATTTTCACCTCTCTTGGTCACCTATTTTCACTTCTCTTGAACACCTCTTGTCACATTTCTTGGTCATCTAGGTCACGTCACTTGGTCACCTCACTTGGTCACCTCTCTTTATCACCTTTTTTTCACTTCACTTGGTCACCTCTCTTTATCACCTTTTTCACCTCTCTTGGTCACCTCTTTTCACTTCTCTTGATCACCTCTTGTCACGTCACTTGGTCACCTCTCTTTGTCACCTTTTTTCACCTCTCTTGTTTACCTATTTTCACTTCTCTTGATCACCTTTAGTCATCTCACTTGGTCACCTCTCTTTATCACCTTTTTTTCACCTCACTTGGTCATTTTACTTGGTCACCTCCCTTGGTATGTCTCCGTAGTAAACGGTCCGAAAGTTCCTAGTTTTTATGTTAATCTATTTAGTGGCTGCCTCAGCCCATCCCCGCCCCACTCTGACTTGATGAACTCCCAACATGTGCGAGTATTTAGCGGGAACCTGTTCGAAGATTCATCATGTCCTGGACAGATCCTGCCCGCTATGCTGGATCTGAGAAATCGCTCATGGAATCAGAAAACAGCCCTCCTGTTAGAGTGGCACGGCTGGAGGGGAGAAATCATGGTACGGCTGGGCCACGGACTGATCGTGCTATCGGCCAGATCTGTTTGTTAGAGTTGACTTCTCTTTGTTTCTACCGGAAGTTAGCCTCACTCAGGATTTAGAACAGGATGTGCAAACGTTTTGCACGTCTGCTGTCTAGACCACAAATCAAATATTCGCCGTCAAAAAATGCAATTAACTAGACGATAAACAAGACAAATCTGCAAGAATTAATGTGGCCACATAAAAAAAAGTGCGAAAGTGAACAGAAAAAAAAGTAGGTAAGATAAGCAGAAATGAATAAATACACTTAAGAGAAAATAGAGGGAGTTAGGTGGATAATGACAGGTAGAACTTGAGAGAGAATAGAGGGAGTTAGGTGGATAATGACAGGTAGAAACCTGGTAACTGCACTAGCTGGCCGTTTGGGCAGATGGATGGAAGGACGAACTGACAGACAGATAATAAGGCAGGCAGAAAGACAGAAGGGGAATGGGGGGACCGACAAATAAACAAAAAGATAAAAGGAGGGACAGACAGAACAACGTATTTACAGAAAAAGAGATGTAGTCAGTAGTGAGCGTACGGAACGACGGACAAGTAGACAGACATACTGAATGAGATCATAATGAATTGTTATGTATGGTTTAACGACCTGTGTTCGAACGACTAAAGATATTTGTTTTTGAGAGATCACGCATTGGGCACACAGGCCTGTCTTAATTGGGCCTTTCCAAACATTTATATTTGACACAGGAATTGTTTTGATTTATAAAGGATTTTATCTGTATCCATCAACACCAGGTAAATGTAATCCACAAATTGAATTTACAATTCTTTTGTTCTAAACATATCAAATAGAGCCTTGAGGCGACGTAACTTACGACTGGTCTGTTTTATGACATTAACGCTACCTGTGATGGTATGTTATCTTCAACATCCGAACTTACGACGGTTCTGTTTTGTAACATTAACGCTACATGTGAGTGGTATGTTGTATTTACCATCCGAACTTACGACTGGTCTGTTTTGTGGCATTAACGCTACCTGTGATGGTATGTTATCTTTACCATCCGAACTTACGACTGGTCTGTTTTGTGGCATTAACGCTACCCATGACTGGTATGTTATCTTTAACATCCGAACTTACGACTGGTCTGTTTTGTGACATTAACGCTACCCGTGACTGGTATGGTATCTCTACCATCCGAACTTACGACTGGTCAGTTTTGTGGCATTAACGCTACCCGTGACTGGTATGTTATCTCTACCATCTGAAAATACGTGTGGTCTATTTTTCTGATATTAACGGTTCCAGTGTTTTACACATAATCATGACATGAGTTCCTTACATCCTTAGCCACACAGAGAAACGGCAGGAGTAAAGAAGGTAGTGTGTTGTCTTCCATTACACAAACATACGACTGGTTTGTCATATGTGATGAGCTGGCACCGCTAACCGACATGTCTTGTTGTGTGTGCAGGAGTCATGCAGGGACGTGGTGTGTGAGCTGGGCCAGCAGATGGTGGCAGCCAAGTGTCAGCCAATGTTCGCTTCCCTCCGGGGCCTGGCCTTTGAGCTCTACTTCGGTCTACACGCCAGTGAACCCATCGACATATCAGGTAGGAGAGTTGACTGACTCTGAAGTTGTATGTTACGATATCGACATCTCAGGTAGGAGAGTCGACTGACTGTGAAGTTGTATGTTACAACATTGACATCTCAGGTATGGAGAGTCGACTGACTCTGAAATTGTATGTCACGACATCGACATCTCAGGTAGGAGAGTCGACTGACTGTGAAGTTGTATGTTACGACATTGACGTCTCAGGTAGGAGAGTTGACTGACTCTGAAGTTGTATGTTACAACATTGACATCTCAGGTAGGAGAGTTGACTGACTCTGAAGTTGTATGTTACAACATCGACATCTCAGGTAGGAGAGTTGACTGACTCTGAAGTTGTATGTTACAACATCGACATCTCAGGTAGGAGAGTTGACTGACTCTGAAGTTGTATGTTACAACATCGACATCTCAGGTAGGGAATCCAATCAAAATGAAATTATATGTGTCTTAATGCTGGTGTCTACATGCTGCTAACCTTGTTTACTAATAGGGAATGAATTAATGAATCAGTCAATCAATCAATCAGTTAGTCAATCCAAATCTGATATCATTGAATTCAGGACATTCCCAAATGTGCTCTGTACCCTTTCTCAGTAGCCAAACAAAAGCTCTCACACTGATGGCGCTAACTTCAATGTAATGTTAAAAGTTTGCCAAACTTTTTATTTCGCGTTGAACAACCTTCAGACCTTCTGCTTTTTCTGATTCGAACCAGTCTCTCCAGATATGGATACTTTGTTCTGATGCCCTGTTTATGTCATCCAAGAGATGTGGGCCACGTCAGTTCATTGTATAGTATCTCGCCACCCACAGACACGACAGCAGCCAATCCATCAGACTGTACATTACTTCGCACTCATGAATTTCTCAGCAGACTCAAGTGCAATCCTCGGCTGTGCATGGATCTATCAGATTGACGATGTTCCTCCTTCATAGTCTTCTGTATTTTAGCACTGCCTGTCTCGCACTGCATCTGCCTATTCTGCAGAAGATCGTTTCAGTATATTCTCAAAATCTGATTCAAGCATGATTTTTGCATACGTTGTTTTATTTTCATCAGTCTCTACAACGCAATTATTCGCTACTTTGAGAATGCAAGATATTCGGATTATTCGACCCAGAATCAACATGTGCGCTGCCCAAAAGCTCTTGCTGATTGGGGTTCACGTTGCAACAGTAATGGGCACACAATAGAACAGGCCCAGGTCACATTTCAGCATTCTCTGTTCAACATACACTAGGAGCGGCTGGTTACAATAGAGACTTCTTGACTTCTCAAATGCAGCTTGAACCGGCCCACTGTTAATCTCTGTTATCCATGAAACGTTTTGTTTATTTCCGAAAGATTTTAGTCAGACGAACAAAGATACTAAAACTGTTTCCCTTGAACTAACGGTTTCACTCAACATAACTAACCATATCACGGCGAAGCGTTGATCCCCTAACTTTTGTAGATGTCCAGTAACAATGCTTGCTCCCACTGACACCGCGGCAGAGACTTGACCAATGGCTCTCACATGCTTCTATTTCTGCAGGTGACCACGGCCTTCTACATCGTCTACCGACAGAGATGGAGGTTTATTTGGGACAGACTCTACTGCAGGGACAAGTCAAATTACAGGTTGTCTGCCTTCTCAAATGCAGCTTGAACCGGCCCACTGTTAATCTCTGTTATCCATGAAACGTTTTGTTTATTTCTCAGCTCTTCTAGATTGTTACATTGAAACTAGAAATCATTCAGTCAGTGTGAATTTAGTATCCGGTTATCTTGCTTATTCTGCCTTAGCATCCCATCTTCATCATGCAGTACTGTTGATGATCCGACATAATATTTCATAACTGCTCTTGCATTTTCCCCACACTGCATCCAGACTGATGCGTCTGTCGTGTGATCGTCGGAGCTGGACACAAGTTGTTATGCCATATTTCAGCTGCATGGTTGCCTTCATCTCCGACCACAGAGATCAATGAAGTCAGACAATGTGTCTCCCTGCATTTAATTTTGTTATGAGTGACCTCACCCAGCCATATTTTCTGAAGCTTCAGGATTTAAAATACTTGCCTGTATGTGTATTTGTCTGCGTGTGTATCTGCGTGTATGTCTTGCCTGTATGTGAATTTGCGTGTGTATCTGCGTGTATGTCTGCCTGTATGTGTATTTGTCTGCGTGTGTATCTGCGTGTATGTCTGCCTGTATGTGTATATGTCTGCGTGTGTATCTGCATGTATGTCTGTCTGTATGTGTATTTGTCTGCGTGTGTATCGCCATACCGGCTGTAAGCTCAGGCGGAAAGTTCAGTTTACCCGAACACTTCTGGACTGCAGTCCTGTTTCAGAACGTGATTGTTGCGTGTGCATCTGTTTGACAGATCTGGCTAATTTCTGTGCAGACTGTTGGTTCCTTGGCTCTTAGGCAGATGCACTCTGACTTCAAAGACTCTTAGACATGCTTCTAGATAAGCAGTGAGTCTATTCTTGTTTTTCTAATAACACGGGAATGTCTGCGTGTGTGTCTGCGTGTGTGTCTGTGTGTGTGTCTGCGTGTGTGTCTGCGTGTGTGTCTGCGTGTGTGTCTGCGTGTGTGTCTGCGTGTGTGTCTGCGTGTGTGTCTGCGTGTGTGTCTGCGTTGCCGTTTCTGCGTGTGTGTCTGCGTGTGTGTCTACGTGTGTGTCTACGTATGTGTCTGCGTGTGAGTCTGCGTGTGTGTCTGCGTGTGTGTCTGCGTGCGTGTCTTAGTGTGTGTCTACGTGTGTGTCTGCGTGTGTGTCTGCGCGTGTGTCTGCGTGTGTGTCTACGTGTGTGTCTACGTGTGTGTCTACGTGTGTGTCTGCGTTTGTGTCTGCGTGTGTGTCTGCGTAGGTTTCTGCGTGTGTATCTGCATGTGTATCTGCATGTGTATCTGCGTGTGTACCTGCGTGTGTATCTGCGTATGTGTCTGTGTGTGTGTGCCTGTGTATCTGCGTGTGTAACTGCGTGTGTGTATGCCTGTATATGCATGGGTCTGACTGTATGTGTATGCGTGTGTGTCTACGTATGTGTATGCCTGTGTATATGCCTGTGTATCTTCGTGTGTATCAGCGTGTGTATCTGCGTGTCTATCTGCGTGTGTGTATGCCTGTATATGCATGGGTCTGACTGTGTGTGTCTGCGTGTGTGTCTGCCTGTATGTGTATGTGTGTGACTGTATCTGTCTGCGTGTTTGTCTGCCTGTATGTGTATGTGTGTGACTGTATCTGTCTGCGTGTGTGTCTGCCTGCCTGTTGTGTGATCCTGTCCTGATATTCTGTTTTAAGTTTTGTATTTGCCGACCTCCCACTGTGGCAGAATGTTCTCGTTGTTCGTCCACCTCTGGACTTTGGTATTGTTTCTGAACTTCAGTTTTTGCGTGCAGATCCATTTTACAGATCTGGCTAATTAGTATGCAGACTGCTGTTTTCTCACCTCTCATATGGATGCACTCAGACTTCAAAGGGAACAACCCTAACTAGTCGACTTATACGACATGCTTGTTAAGAGGGCAGCAAGTCTATTCTCCACCACCCCCCCCCCCCGACACTGGGGCCCCAAAACCTATACAGGGAGTCATGAATTAAACCTACTAGTCCATACATAATCAACTTGTATACGTTTGATTAGTTCCTTGTTCTCTATTTCGTAATTTTGCATCGTCACGTGATGAGGAGCAATTGCAGCATTGATAGAGTCTCGGCTGTAATTATGTCCAGAATTATTTACATCTCGGACATGTTTCTTAGTGATGGATGTTGATTTGATGTTCGTGTGCTTTTTGCATATCCCCTCCATCATCGATCCGAATGAAGCAGATCCGAATGAAGCAGATCCGAATGAAGCAGATCCGAATGAAGCAGATCCGAATGAAGCAGATCCGAATGAAGCATATCCGAAAGAGTATGTAGACAGAGGCGGACACTGTCTCAGTTCGATTTTTCCCCAGTGATCCCTGGTCAAGGCAATCGTGGTCTTTGATTCTCAGTCCACGCTCCATCTAGTTCAATCCTGATTGACATAAACAGCTTACACTTGTGGAAACCTCCACGTCATTCGAAGTGAAGTGAAGCTATTCATGCTGTGTTATGTGAACAAGAAAGGCCGTACTATTATCTTTAAGAAAATATAATATAATATTATACAAACATACAGATAGGGGACAATAACTACAACAATACCTAAGAACTATATGGTGGAGTGGGTTCCCTTGTTGGACTCTCACGTATGCATGCCTGTTGTAGAGACCAGACTGTGAAGAAATACTACTGGTTGCAATGATTTCGGGCACGTTGGGTAACTGCGTTGCTAGCCAGCTTTTAGCGGGTACGAACAAATCCACACCCTGCAACTTAGGGCAGAGAGACTGAGCACTCTGTGAACCTTAAATAATTTTCATCACACGTATGTACACGTATTTCTTATTTCTAGAACTCACTTACCAAAGGGGCATCATTGAACATATATTAGTCTACTCTGCAGGACTTTGCCATGTCTTTCAACACAACTGGACATGATGGCCGGTGTAGCCAGACATCCAGGGACCTAGGCGTCTATGCCAGGTTGATCAGTGAATCACTCAACGATCAGACACAGCTGCAGAACGACCTACTGCAAGTTCGACATGCCAAGTTCAGCATTGTCATCCAGGCTTGGAATATGTCGTTTCAGGTAATGTGTACCGTTTAGTGAGTATTCTATGTACCCATGCACTAACATATGGTCACATCCATGACTGTCAACTCAGAGCAGACGTTCGTCAAACGGATCTTGATGTCCGCGTTACTGGTGAATGTGATCATCACACTTAATGACCATGTTACTGGTGAATGTGATCGTCACACTTGATGTCCGCGTTACTGGTGAATGTGATCGTCACACTTGATGACCGCGTTACTGGTGAATGTGATCGTCACACTTGATGACCGCGTTACTGGTGAATGTGATCGTCACACTTGATGACCGCGTTACTGGTGAATGTGATCGTCACACTTGATGACCATGTTACTGGTGAATGTGATCGTCACACTTGATGACCGCGTTACTGGTGAATGTGATCGTCACTCTTCACGAGATCGTATATATTGTGCCGGATAGAACTAGGCAACCGGACTCAAAAGCGCGACCATTCCAAACAAACAAAAGAGGACCTGTGAGGACCACACAAATCCATTCCTATTTGTGTTCCATGTCTTAATGACCACACAGTGGACACCACACAAGTCCACTCCTCTTTGTGTTCCATGTCGTAATGACCACACAATGAACACCACACAAGTCCACTTCTCTGTGTGTTCCATGTCGTAATGACCGCACAATGGACACCACACAAGTCCAGTTCTCTGTGTGTTCCATGTCGTAATGACCACACAATGGACACCACACAAGTCCACTTCTCTGTGTGTTCCATGTCGTAATGACCACACAATGGACACCACACAAGTCCAGTTCTCTTTGTGTTCCATGTCGTAATGACCACACAATGGACACCACACAAGTCCACTTCTCTTTGTGTTCCATGTCGTAATGACCGCAGAGTGGACACCACACCAGTCCACTTCTCTTTGTGTTCCATGTCGTAATGACCACACAATGGACACCACACAAGTCCACTTCTCTTTGTGTTCCATGTCGTAATGACCACACAATGGACACCACACAACAATGTCGTAATGACCACACAATGGACACCACACAAGTCCACTTCTCTTTGTGTTCCATGTCGTAATGACCACACAGTGGACACCACACCAGTCCACTTCTCTGTGTGTTCCATGTCGTAATGACCACACAATGGACACCACACAAGTCCAGTTCTCTTTGTGTTCCATGTCGTAATGACCACACAGTGGACACCACACCAGTCCACTTCTCTGTGTGTTCCATGTCGTAATGACCACACAATGGACACCACACAAGTCCAGTTCTCTTTGTGTTCCATGTCGTAATGACCACACAGTGGACACCACACCAGTCCACTTCTCTGTGTGTTTCATGTCGTAATGACCACACAATGGACACCACACAAGTCCACTTCTCTGTGTGTTCCATGTCGTAATGACCACACAATGGACACCACACCAGTCCACTTCTCTGTGTGTTCCATGTCGTAATGACCACACAATGGACACCACACCAGTCCACTTCTCTTTGTGTTCCATGTCGTAATGACCGCACAATGGACACCACACAAGTCAACTTCTCTGTGTGTTTCATGTCGTAATGACCACACAATGGACACCACACCAGTCCACTTCTCTTTGTGTTCCATGTCGTAATGACCACACAATGGACACCACACCAGTCCACTTCTCTGTGTGTTTCATGTCGTAATGACCACACAATGGACACCACACCAGTCCAGTTCTCTTTGTGTTCCATGTCGTAATGACCGCAGAGTGGACCATACATCATTTATTACATTTGTTGTCTCCCCTTAAGTTAAGCAGTTTGTGTGTGCTTGTATTTGTCTCAACGACAGGCATTCCCCAGTGAAACTGTATGGCACACCTTGCAGCCTCTGAGAAGACAGGCGCCGCAGACACTGTCTTCCTGTGTCATCATGGTCTCTAACAGCCACATGGGACTTCGACGAGGTGAGTAGAGAGTTAGTCTCGCCGACTAGAGCATGCTTGCAGTGTACATTGGGTGCGATTAGTGATGAGTTACCCTCGGCCGTTGGGGCAAGTTTTTCGATCTCTGGTAAATAATTGATGTCTGCACATAAGAAAGGGGTATGGTAAAAGGGGTTAAATGGTTTAAAACAATCACTAAGTTAAGATTTTGGAGAGAATTAAACACATGCAAATATATAAGGATTAACTAGGGGCTATACACATCGATAATCGTAATATTGACATTACTAGAATGTCCTTTAGCGGAAACCCACATGAACAAAAAATATAGACAGAAGCACATGTAGAAGAGAATTAGAAAAATTTATATAATGGGAAGGACGTAATAGCGAATAGATGATGGAGAATTTATGACGAACTGGAGATAGCTGCCTGGGAGTCAATACTTCAATAAATAGATTGTCCCGTTCCACTGAGTGACGTGTAGTTAGATGTAGATTGTCCCGTTACACTGAGTGACGTGTAGTTAGATGTAGATTGTCCCGTTACACTGAGTGACGTGTAGTTAGATGTAGATTGTTCCGTTGCACTAGGAGACGTGTAGTTAGATGTAGATTGTTCCGTTGCACTAGGTGATGCGTAGTTAGATGTAGATTGTTCCGTTGCACTGAGTGATGCGTAGTTAGATGTAGATTGTTCCGTTGCACTAGGTGACATGTAGTCAGACGTAGATTGTCCTGTTACACTAGGTGACGTGTAGTTAGATGTAGATTGTCCTGTTACACTAGGTGACGTGTAGTTAGATGTAGATTGTCCTGTTACACTAGGTGACGTGTAGTTAGATGTAGATTGTTTCGTTGTACTAGGTGACGTGTAGTTAGATGTAGATTGTTTCGTTGTACTAGGTGATGCGTAGTTAGATGTAGATTGTTCCGTTGTACTAGGTGACGTGTAGTTAGATGTAGATTGTTTCGTTGTACTAGGTGACGTGTAGTTAGATGTAGATTGTTCCGTTGTACTAGGTGACGTGTAGTTAGATGTAGATTGTTCCGTTGCACTAGGTGATGCGTAGTTAGATGTAGATTGTTCCGTTGCACTAGGTGATGCGTAGTTAGATGTAGATTGTTCCGTTGTACTAGGTGACGTGTAGTTAGAAGTAGATTGTTCCGTTGTACTAGGAGACGTGTAGTTAGATGTAGATTGTTCCGTTGCACTAGGTGATGCGTAGTTAGATGTAGATTGTTCCGTTGCACTAGGTGATGTGTAGTTAGATGTAGATTGTTCCGTTGCACTAGGTGATGCGTAGTTAGATGTAGATTGTTCCGTTGCACTAGGTGATGTGTAGTTAGATGTAGATTATCTCGTTCCACTGAGTTACATGTAGTTAGATGTAAATTGTCCTGTTCCACTGAGTGACGTGTAGTTAGATGTAAGTTTTCCCGTTGCACTAGGTGACGTGTAGTTAGATGTAGATTGTCCCATTGCACTAGGTGACGTGTAGTTAGATGTAAGTTTTCCCGTTGCACTAGGTGACGTGTAGTTAGATGTAGATTGTTCCGTTGCACTAGGTGACGTGTAGTTAGATGTAGATTGTTCCGTTGCACTAGGTGACGTGTAGTTAGATGTAGATTGTCCCATTGCACTAGGAGACGTGTAGTTAGATGTAGATTGTCCCGTTACACTAGGTGATGTGTAGTTAGATGTAGATTGTCCCGTTACACTAGGTGATGTGTAGTTAGATGTAGATTGTCCACTTCCACTGAGTGACGTGTAGTTAGATGTAGATTGTCCCGTTCCACTGAGTGACGTGTAGTTAGATTTAGATTGTCCACTTCCACTGAGTGACGTGTAGTTAGATGTAGATTGTCCCGTTCCACTGAGTGACGTGTAGTTAGATTTAGATTGTCCACTTCCACTGAGTGACGTGTAGTTAGATGTAGATTGTCCACTTCCACTGAGTGATGTGTAGTTAGATGTAGATTGTCCACTTCCACTGAGTGACGTGTAGTTAGATGTAGATTGTCCCGTTTCACTGAGTGACGTGTAGTTAGATGTAGATTGTCCCGTTACACTAGGTGACGTGTAGTTAGATGTAGATTGTCCCGTTACACTAGGTGACGTGTAGTTAGATGTAGATTGTCCACTTCCACTGAGTGACGTGTAGTTAGATGTAGATTGTCCCGTTCCACTGAGTGACGTGTAGTTAGATGTAGATTGTCCCGTTACACTAGGTGACGTGTAGTTAGATGTAGATTGTCCCGTTACACTAGGTGACGTGTAGTTAGATGTAGATTGTCCCGTTACACTAGGTGACGTGTAGTTAGATGTAGATTGTCCCGTTACACTAGGTGACGTGTAGTTAGATGTAGATTGTCCCGTTCCACTGAGTGACGTGTAGTTAGATGTAGATTGTCCCGTTACACTAGGTGACGTGTAGTTAGATGTAGCAGAGCTGCTGTCTTCTCTAGTTTTGCTTCTGGATCTGTTGCCCTGACCTGATTGGCTGGTGAAACTGGTGCATTAGGCAACAGCCATATTTATTGTGCTAACCAGCAGACACTTTGTCTTCTCTCTGACTCTTCTCTCTGACTCTTCTTTCTGGCTGTTCTCTCTGACCTTTCTCTCTTGCTCTTCTTTCTGACTCTTCTCTCTGAATCTTTTCTATTGTTGTTCAACTGTCGTCACAAAAGTCCTCATGTGTGTCCATGTTTAATATGATAAAATCATTTATCAGCTTGTATGGAAGGCATGAACGATGACGTCCAGGACATACTACAAGGAACGTTGATGAAAGAGGCCGACATATTACAAGGAATGTTGATGAGAGAGGCCGACATACTACAAGCAATGTTGATGAGAGAGGCCGACATACTACAAGCAATGATGATGAGAGAGGCGGACATACTATATGAGAAAGGCTGACTTAAACAAGCAACGTTGATGCGACATAACTAACAGCAATGTTGATGAGAGAGGCCGACATATTACAAGGAACGTTGATGAGAGAGGCCGACATATTACAAGGAACGTTGATGAGAGAGGCCGACATACTACAAGGAACGTTGATGAGAGAGGCCGACATACTACAAGGAATGTTGATAAGAGAGGCCGACATACTACAAGGAACGTTGATGAGAGAGGCCGACATACTACAAGGAATGTTGATGAGAGAGGCCGACATACTACAAGCAATGTTGATGAAAGAGGCCGACATACTACAAGGAATGTTGATGAAAGAGGCCGATATACTACAAGGAATGTTGATGAGAAAGGCCGACATACTACAAGGAATGTTGATGAGAGAGGCCGACATATTACAAGGAATATTGATGAAAGAGGCCGATATACTACAAGGAACGTTGATGAGAGAGGCCGACATACTACAAGGAACGTTGATGAGAGAGGCCGACATATTACAAGAAACGTATATGAGAAAGGCTGACTTAAACAAGCAACGTTGATGAGAGAGGCCGACATACTACAAGCAATGTTGATGAGAGAGGCCGACATACTACAAGGAACGTTGATGAGAGAGGCCGACATATTACAAGAAACGTATATGAGAAAGGCTGACTTAAACAAGCAACGTTGATGAGAGAGGCCGACATACTACAAAGAACGTTGATGAGAAAGGCCGACATACTACAAGGAACGTTGATGAGAAAGGCTGACATACTACAAGGAACGTTGATGAGAGAGGCCGACATACTACAAGCAATGTTGATGAAAGAGGCCGACATACTACAAGGAATGTTGATGAAAGAGGCCGATATACTACAAGGAATGTTGATGAGAAAGGCCGACATACTACAAGGAATGTTCATGAAAGAGGCCGACATACTACAAGGAATGTTGATGAAAGAGGCCGACATACTACAAGAAATGTTAATGAAAGAAGCCGACATACTACAAGGAATGTTGATGAGAGAGGCCGACATACTACAAGGAACGTTGATGAGAGGGGCCGACAGAGCTGGATTCCATCCACGATGTCGGCAATATTGCACATGATGGAAGGTTACTGAGAGATGGACTGAGAGCCTCATGTGACAAAAACACCAACAATATGATAACGATTATGATGACAGTGATGATGGTTGCCCTCGATGCCACTGTATTGACTAACAATCGTTAAACTCCTATGATTGAATTACATCACAACTTGTACTGTTTGTTAACTTCTTCAGATGGAACGATGAGGGTGGGCACCACAACACCTGACCCAGTGACGTCGGCGGAGATGCAGACCACATCCTTCATCCGGGTGTCCAGCTTGTTAGAGTGCCCGCAGGTGCAGCTGCTGCATCACGAGTACTCCACCACTGATCCCCAAGGAGCGCTGAAGTTACAGTGGGGAGTGGTGTTGCCTGGCAGCCGCTATCTCAGGGACCAGGGGGACAACATCACAATATGTCTGTCAGACTTTCTCCTCAAGCTGGAGCAGAACAGACGGAGGAAGTCAACCATGGAGGAGAACTTGGCCATTGTGCTGCTGACCATCTCTATCCTGTGTTTGTTTTCCTGCTTTGCCGTGTTCCTGATCTTTGCAGTGTTGCGGTCACTGACTGGCAGAAACAACATGGTGCTGGTGGTCTGCACCTGCCTGTCTCAGATCTCGCTGCTGGTTGGTTACTTCATCGACGACGCCAGCAGGATGTGTGCTCTGGCAGGCGTAGCCATCCATTATTTCACCTTATGTGCCTTCTGTTGCCTGATCGTCTGTACCTACCACGTCTACAACATCTTCACCACAATGCATCTGTCTAGAGACCGGCGCAAAGAGCGTAGATGGATTGCCTACTACAACTCCTTTGTCTTTCTAATCCCTGTTGCCGTGGTGTGCACTGTTATTGCCGCCTACGCCTCTCGTAAAATGACATGGCGCACTTTTGGTTACGGAGGCGGTTCATTTTGTTTATTGTCATCGGCCATCTCGCTGTGGGTGGCCCTGTTTGTGCCTGTGGTAGCGTCCACAGTGTTGGTGGTGGTTTTGTTCTGCCTGACCTCAAACAGCCTGCACA